ATTGAATCATGAGTGAAACTCTTAAATGCTAGCGTTTATAAGAAAATTTTTAAGTATGAGCAGGTCACGAATTTTTATGCAAAATAAAACAGTCACGTATCAATTAAATAATGTATTCTAAACAGACGTTTCTTTTGTCATGTAAACATTATAATAGGCATTCGTATTTTAACATCTTGTATATTTTTTAACATGTCAAATAATCTTTATATTCACTGCTAATGCAATTCTTCTACAAGTACATAAAATTCGTTGTATAAGTATGAGTTCAATATTAATTTGATTTTCCATTTCGGAATTTTCGTGAGATACTCAATTTCTACTCACCTAAACATGATTTCGTTATCAATTGGACATAAGATACAATGTATAAGTAAAAACAGTGGAAAGTACTTTCATGAGTGGAACTTAATGTACATTCAAATGAATCAGGCAAAAAATTATTTATAATCAATTATTATTGTAAAATGGTTTATTGAAAACATGTGCATTTTTATAGATATTTATGATTTATTACGGTAGTTTAATAGATGTTCGAAAATTCCCCTTTTTGCAAGACTGCAGGTTTCCATTCGTCGAATTAATAATTGCCGAATTCTTTCAAATATTCCAACTGTATTATTAGAAATAATAGTAAATGCATTTTGAATATATTCCCAAAGATCATCTTCTGTTTTTATCCCATTTTATATGCCAACTCTTTTACGTGGCCATAAGAATTATACTGAGAGTTTCTTTACGTCGTTTGAAATCCATTCCTTAATGAAGACCATAGCAATGCCATGAAAGTACACAATTCCTTGAATAATTTTGTACAAGCCAATTGAGTCTTGTAGTGTATATCACGTCATGTAATCATTTTTAACAAAGTTGAAAAATATTAAAAACACTTCTTTATTCTATTTATTGTATACATTTAGTATGTTAAAATTATAGAACAATAAACCAGTGAGTAGGAATTGGGACACTTATCTTATTTCTCCTATTCTGCCCCGTATTTCATGATTCCTGTATGAAGGATTATAATGGATCACTTTGATACACCGTTAATTATGCAAAATAGATGAAAGGGCAATGACACCTAGCCTCGACAGTCTCACGCTTACGCCGTCATTCGGTCCATTTCTCTCTCTTCGATTTTTACATAAACTTTTCCTACCAAAGAACTTTTAATCGATGTGCCACAGCACACAACTCTTACACAGCACTGCACTGCACTGTTGCGAATCGAGCAAAAAGCTCCAGGAAACTCGGCTACCTAAATCTACCTTAGTCAGATTACGTCACGCTCGAATTCCCTTTCCTGATCCCGGTTGCCAACCTGAAGGGATCTACGTCGTACTAACGAGTCTTCTTCATATCGAATATCCCATACGAACACCTCAATTGAAAGAAGAAGGCACGTCATGTACGATAATAGAAATAACGTTATATTCTGAAAATATGCATAGATTTTTGATAAATTGTTCCAAAAGGATAAAAAGTCTCAACATATAATTTATAATAAAAGTCTTTATTACTCCGTACGAACCATTAAGAAAGGCATTAGAGTCAGATAAAAAATGAGGGAATATTAAAAAATCTCGCTGGTACAATTTTTGTCTTAGCGACCACGTGATTCGATCGGGATTTACGAGAACGGGTGTCGCATCGTATCGAATCTGATTTTGATAACTGGAGGCAAGGTGAACGCACTGACTTGTGACGCAGATGGAACGCGGAACCGAGGCAGGCGTTGCAGGAGACAAATGACCGTCTGCGAGGCCACAAAACCGCCTTTCGGACCAGCCTCCTCTCTTCAAAGCGCGCCTTTTACGCTACCGATTTATCGGACAAGAGCTTTTACCGCGTGCGTGTTCTCGCGCCCCTCCCTGCCCTTTTCTAGCGTCGGCCTTTCGCTCTTCCGTCTTCCTTCGCTACCCTTCCGCCGTGAATGCTAATTCGCGGTCACTGTTTTTGCTTCGTACCAAATCGTGATTCACTCGATTTATAAATCATTCGCAGCGGATTATACCGGGTGATGTATATCCCGCGGCGCGTACGCCTCTCCGGTCTGCGCGCCGGCAGACTTTAAATCATGCCGCGCTGTTCGAGCATGATTTTCGTCCTTTCCTACGTGAACGGCGCACGGTGAAAAAGCCGATTGTTGAAATACGGAGATAGACTAGCGCGGTCGTGAGCCAAACGTAATTCCGTGTTAAGCTGTCTGTGAAACGTGGGAGTCGACAAATCTGTCGTCGTTCGGTTTGGTAGGTAGTACATATGTAGGTATGTGCCAGAGGTAGCATATTGTTTCCGTTTCGAAAATTCGAAAATTCTCAACCTTGCAACTATCCCAATAATATTAGGCAATTTAGATAATTATATTTAGCATTCTTTTGACACTATATCAATTTTTCTATAATTCATCTCAAATTTTATTAACATATTCCATCTAATGACTACTATATTGAAATTTATTTTACTTAATGTATTATAACGTTCTTAATTTTTGGTAATATCGTCCTCTAAATTAGACGAACGTTTCTATTTAACATTCGTTTGACAATATATCAATTCTTGTTTTATAATCATCTCAAACTATCACAGAAAATTCCATGAAACGACTCGTAGTTACTCTGTGTTACTTAATTCGTTATTCCTTAATTTTTCGTAACACCGTCCTCTGTCATTTGGGTCGTTACTTTCGATCTGTGTTCGATCAAATCTTTGTACCGAACGGGGATCTTGACGCGCAAATCGTTACGAAAATATTTGAGGCTCGCCAACTGAAGTAACGAGTCTCAGTTAATGCGAAACAGAGAGAGGTACCGAGCGTGTAAATCGGCACAGGGAAGACAGGGAGAGAGTGAGGAAAGGTGAACAGAGAAAAAGAGAGAGGGACGGGGAGAAGGGACGATAGAGAGAGAGAGAGAGAGAGAGAGAGAGAGAGAGAATGTTGAAGAACGCGCAGGTGAGAAGGAGAGGACAAAGAGAACCGAGTCGGTGGAGGTGGGAGGGGTGAGAGGAGGAGGTTTCGCAGGGGGGGAGGGGAGGTTGTGACCAAGAGGAAGGAGGGACGAGCCAGGAGGAAGTCAACGTCCGAAGATTACGGCAATGACATTCGCTTTTTCTCACTCTCCTCCTCGTGTTCCTCTCCGCGGCTTGTTGCCTCTTTTTCCTTTCGCGAGCCTTGCCCGTCTCTTACGCACGTCCTCCCCTTTCATTCTTCGGTTGTTTCACCGCGGAAAACATTTCGGATCGGAATACTTAAAACTGCCTTTAATATTCACCGATGGGCCCGCACCTCCCTCGTGGATCGATCAGGGAACCAGTCGAGATCCAAACGACTTCCTTTTCGCCTGGTCGATCCTGCTCTCAGCTTGTTAATCGACCTTTCGATCCTCTGCCGGAAGCTTCTTCGGGCCCTGAATGTTTACGATGCGACATCGCTAATAACTCGTTCGCAGATATCTACCATCGCGTTAATAACTCAAACTTTGAATATAATTTGACTAAATGATAGAAATCTAAAATCAATCTCATTCATTTCTTAATTAGATTATATTCAAGAATAATCTATGGTTATTCAGTTCTACTTATTTTTTTAATGTGAAATCAGATATAGTAAAATGTGACACGTAAAATAATGAGCTGTGGCTTTTAGGAATTTTCTGAAGAGGATTCTGAACATATTTCAATAGTTTTCTCATTATTTTCCTTCCTTTGGTTTCATTCCCTTATTCATTTAAATTGATTAATTAGTTAGTAAATGTGAAATCAGATATGGTACAGAGTAACACATAAAATTATGAGTTGTGGCTTTTAGGAATTTTCTGAAGAGGATTCTGACTATATTTAAATAGTTTTCTCATTAATTACTTCCTTTCATTTTCATTCTCTTATTCATTTAAATTGATTAATTAGCTAATAAACGTTTTAATATCTGTATGGAAATGTACTTATAAATAGTATTAGCTCGTTATCCAGAGGAACACGTACCTATGTAAATGTCGCAATTTGTCTATGCATATGTTGGTCCGGAGTCCGGAATCCAACGAGGCATTTGTAACTATTATCGCTTGTTCGATAGTTGACGACTACGTTACTACTAACGAAAACTGTTGTATCAGTAATACATATTTGATTTTTATTGGGTAGCATTTGATTTGTGTCACGTATATGTTTACGTATATTAATTAATGTTAACACTAAACATATCGATAGTTTTCGTACCCTAATAGACTAT